CGGGTTCATTTCCTCTGAGGGAAATGCCCTCTTGAAGACAACCGCTTGAACATCCAGAATGACGCCAGAACCCCATCCTGGGAAATCAAGGTTTCGACTTACCGTTACTGTTGCGTCTTGACGATCCCGAATCGTGCCAGAACATCATTGCTGGGACTTCAACACCGCGAATCAACGTGACGTTTGCGCCCTGACATTTCCACAGTGTGCCAAAACACCATTTCTGTTACGTTAACCATGATAATGCTTGAAACGCAAACTTTTCAGATATGCGCGCGGCGCTGAGGCGAGAGCCACATTTTGGAAAGGAACCGCCCTCCATCCGTGACACTCTTGCAGGCTTTCAAAACAAATGTGCGCGGGGCTAAGGCGAGAGCCACATTTTGGCAAGGAACCGCCCTTAATCCGTGAATCCCTTGCGAACTTTGAAGACGAATGTGCGCGGCGCCAAGGCGAGAGCCACATTTTGAAAACGGACGGCCCTGCATCCGTGACTCCTTGCGAACTTTCCACTGAGACGAATGTGCGCGGCGCTCAAGCGAGAGCTAGATTTTGAAAATATCTTGCAACTGGTGATGAGCAAGTCTCAGGTGAAACGCCCAGCCCGCCCTTTCGACCGGCCTCGGGGTGAGAATGAGGAGAAGGGGTTGAGGAGGATGAGGAAGATCAGGAGCAGGAAGAGGAGGAGGAGGACGAGGATGGAGGAGGAGGCGGAGGGTCAGAATGGAGGAATGAGGCGGAGGAGATGGGAGGAGGAGGAGGAGGAGGAGGAGGAGGATGGAGGATGGAGGATGGAGGAAGGAGGCGGGAGAGGAGAATGAGGAGGAGGGGGAGGAGGACGAAGAGGAGGTCGAGGACCAGTGGAATCCAGGATGCGCGAAGGAAGCCGTCAGACGCCCTCCCGCCCCGAGTCCCTTCTCAAACGTCCCTGCAGTCGGCCGAGGGCGCTGCTCTCGACACGAGCTGCCCAGGGTTACGCGATACGGTCGAGATCTACAGTAAGGAAGGGCAACATGCCCACGGTCGGTATCGTGTAACATATTCCCATCCCCATCCCCATCCCCATCTCTTTCGAGACCCCCACCAAATTACCACCCCAGTTGGGGATTCACCCCTCGAAACCCGAAGGGAACGACCTGTATACCCATCTAGGGGGGTAAATCGGCCAGTGGGGCCCAGGCCACGCCGCTGGGGATGGGGATCGGTTAAACGATACTCACACGGGTACCCTTGCACTCTTGCCTCCTCGGTCCACTCTGAAGCCCTATCGATGGCCAGCCCCGCTCGAAAAGCTTGGACACGGGCGTCCAAGGGGCCTGCATCCTTATCCCACATCCTTATTATCTGTCTTGACTGCAGGGCCAGAACGTTCTGAAAAGGGACCGCCCTCCGATCCGTGTAATGCTGCACACTTGTGCACACCGGGTAGTGCATTTGAGGACGCCTCAAGCGAGAGTCCCAGTTTGAAAAGGAGCCGCCCTCATTCCCTGTAATGGTTGCACACGCCGACCCGTTGGGTCGTAATCGTGAGGACGTCTCAAGCGAGAGTCCTATTTCTAAAAGGAAGCGTCCTTGTGTGACGGCTTTGCACTTTTGCGTAGATTTTGGTGGAAGTCGCAACCGAGTGCTCCATTCGGATGAGGTACCGCCATTCATCCTTGCGACGGGGGGCACTACAAGATTTATGGCCAATACGCGCAGCGCTAAGGCGACAGCCTCATTTTGAAAACGACCTGCCTTCCACCCGTGTACAGTCTCTTTTTTAATAGATGCTCCGCGTGCGGATCATGTATTAACAATGCAGGGATCTAGTATTAAAAACAACGAGGAGTTCATGCATAAATGTATTCACATATTAAGCATGTAGTAACAAATCATATATTGTAAAATCCTATACATTTAAAACTGCCCTGTACTTGCGAGGAAAATGACGGGTTTCGCCCTCTCCCGCCGCCCCCTCTCGGACTGCTTGCATGGCCACGCTTGGTTTACAGGCTGGTTGGTCTGTTGCCGGGTGGTTGGCATGGCAACTCGGCGGACTGGCTTGCTGCTTTAAACTGCTGGTTGGCCACCGATTTGGGCCGCTGGCTGGCCGGCTGGTTGCGCGCGAGGGGTGGCAGCCTCGGGAGCGCGCTCTGACTGTCATTTGCGAGGGTTCGCGGCCTCGGGAGCGCGCGCCCCCCACCACCTTTCCAGGACTCGTGGCTTTGGGTCCAGGGTCGCATTCTCAGAAAACGACGGGGAGGAGGAGGAAGGAGGAGGAGGAGGAGGAGGAGGAGGAGGCGGAGGAGGAGGAGGAGGAGGAGGAGGAGGAGGAGGCGACTCTTCGGCCGAGAGAGATAGAGAGAGAGAGAGGAGGAGGAGGAGGAGGAGGAGGAGGAGGAGGAGGAGGAGGAGGAGGAGGAGGAGGAGGAGGAGGAGGAGGAGGAGGAGGAGGAGGAGGAGGAGGAGGAGGAGGAGGAGGAGGAGGAGGAGGAGGAGGAGGAGGAGGAGGGGAGGAGGAGGAGGAGGAGGAGGAGGAGGAGGAGGAGGAGGAGAGGAGGAGGAGGAGGAGGAGGAGGAGGAGGAGGAGGAGGAGGAGGAGGAGGAGGAGGAGGAGGAGGAGGAGGAGGAGGAGGAGGAGGGAGGAGGAGGAGGAGGAGGAGGAGGAGGAGGAGGAGGAGGAGGAGGAGGAGGAGGAGGAGGAGGAGGAGGAGGGGAAGGGAGGAGGAGGAGGAGGAGGAGGAGGATGCCGAACAGTGCCCCCACGAGCACACATCCCACTGCGCAGTTTTTCTGCTTCGAAAGAGGGGGTGTGACGCGTCTGTGCTCGGCCTCCGTGGGGTGGGTTTTTGTGGGCCTCGGGAGCGGGACTTTGTGGTAATGCATGCTCGGTCGTGGCCTCGTGGGTTGCGAATCCGTCGCAATGTGCCAAAGGGATTTTTCATTTCTGAAGGGCGCGAGCACGTCGTTTGTTTAATCGCTTCGCTCATTCCGCCGGCCCTTCCTGTCGCACCTCTGTCGATTTGGGGGTGTGTTCCTGAGGGGGTCGCAGTGACTGTGGATTTGGTTTCGGGGGTTCGTCGCAGATTCTGGCGGGGTTGTCCTGTTCTGAAGGGCGCGAACGCGTTGTTATTTGTGAGGGATTCCGTCCTGGGGTCTGCGAGTCTGCTGTCGTTTGCAAAAGGGACTTGTGGCCTCGGGAGCGTGAGCCCGTGGTGATGAGGGGTTGTGGCTCGGGAGCGCTAGAGCGTCGTAACTTGCAAAGGTTGTGGCTTCCCGAACCCGCGGGAGCAGCATCACTTACATCAAGCGCGTGTGCCTTCGAGAACGCGGGCGCGCCGCGATTTGCAGGGGATTGTGGCCTCGGCACCGCCAACGCGACGTGATTTACGAAGGGGGTGTGGTTTCCCAAACGTGAGTGCGCAATGCTTCACAATGGATTGGTCTCGGGAGCGCGAAGTGGTTGGAATTTGCGACGGTCTGTGGTCTCAGGAACGCTTATGCGGTAATACACCTCTATATGTATGCATGCATCTACACAAAAGGGATTGTTGCTTCGGGAGCGCGAAGTTGTTGCGAGCTACAAGGGGTTGTGGCTTCGGGAGCGCGCAGGCGTTGTACTTCACTGGGGGCTGTGGCTTCGGGAGCGCGAGCGCGGCGTGATTCACGAAGGGCTGCGGCCTCAGGGATGCAGACCTGGCGCAACTTACCATGGGCTGTGGCTTCGGGAGGATTTTGGCCCCGGGAGCCCGCTTGTGATTCACCACGGGCTGTGACCTCGGGAGTTCGCCGTGATTTTTGTCAGAAGTTGTGGCCCCGGGATGGCGATTGCTTCGTGATTCGTGTGGGACTGATGGCGTCGGCCGTGCGAATCGGTGCTGTTTTTACGTGCCCCAGGGCCTCCCCCCAGAAATGCTGAGCACCCCCAGCGGTCGTGGCAAATCAAAGGCTTTCGGGCCAGGGTCCTCGCGCGGACCTCGATCGCTTCCCGAACAGTGCCTGCATTCAGGGGTTTTGATTTTCTTCGCCGGAGCTGGGCCCGTGCGCGGCCCTGGTGGCCCCGCTCCCAGCCGTCGCCGCACCATCTTTCCCAGTGAAGGGGCCCGTGCGTGGGCCCTGCGTTGCTTTTCATTATTCGAAGGCCTTGCGGCCGGTGCCGCCGACGCTGAAAGGAGACGACGACGACGACAACGGCGGCGGCGGCGACGACGACGACGATGCTGACGTTGGCCAGAGTCCCCAGGTTTGCTTCTTGTTGGGGTCTCTTCGGAAGGCTCTCGTGGGCCCCTGTGGAAGAATAGTTGGGGCCTCTTAGGACCCTCTTGGGGGCCTCTTGGGAGCCTCTTGGTGGGGGCCTCTTCGGGCTTCCTGGGGACCTCTTGTGGGCCTCTTGGGGCGTCTTGGGAACCTCTTGGGGCCTCATGGGAGCCTCTCGGGGCCGAGGGCTCGAACTGTCCGTTCGGGTCCCCCGTCTCGGCACGCTCCTGGATTGGAGCCGTCTTGGGGGTCTCTGGGGCCGCCTTGGAGGCGCTTTGGGCTGTCTTGGGCTCCTCTTGGGCTGTTTCGGGGCCCTCTTGGAGGCCTCTTGGAGGCCGCTTGGGCCGTCTTGGGGCGATCTTTGGGGCC